ACATGAACCTCCAAATCTTAGTTAGAGAGTGTAAACAAGAGTTTATTTAATGCAGTAATTTTTCGCATGTTATACAAGTGCCTTCGCTTTTTTGCGGTGCAAATTTGGAGGCTACACTTCAACAATGCCATAAGAATGGATGAGAACTTGGAACTTGAAGTAATAGACAACTGAGTTGGAATTCCAAACTCTGTCATTTATGAGCTGAGGGCCTGGGGTAATCAAGTAGCCACTTTTTATCTCAGTTTCATTTATCAAATGAGGCTAATAATAATACCCATTTCTTAACATTGCTGTTAAGATTATATGAAATAATACATGCAAAGCATTAAGTGTAAAGTTCCCAGAACATGCTAAACACTCAAAAAAATGAAAGCTATTATGTTTTCCATATTCAATATTAGCAGCTCTCTTAGTATGTTTTTTATTGCCTTTGTTCAGACATTTCCTGAAATTCCTCATTTAGTCACTCTGTTTTGAGGAGAAAAACTAAGAAGAAATGAACACAATTGCTTTAATAGACTCACTTTTGTAGAAATAGCTAGAATGAGAGGTACGTCAAGGATGGGGAAATCATTGAGTTTCTCCAGATTTCTAATGAGCCTTGGAGAGTTAGGACAGTGCAGGAGAAGCCTTCTTGTTTAGGTATTGTGAACATAATATGAGTCACTTATAGGATTTTTTTTTCCCTACAGATATAACTAACACTACCCAAAGGAAAATGGAATTAAAAAAAAAAAAAATTAGAAGGAAATATATCTAAAAATATCTCAATCAACCAAAAAAAAATTTGGCCAGACCACCTGGATTTTTCTGAGTATAATTTTAGTTAGGTAAACAGAAAAAAAAGATAAGTTTTCCTAAAGAGGAAAGAGTGATTTTATGGAAAATGTGGTTGTCAGTAATATTCATATGCAGATTGACTTTGCAAATGTTTTTCCTCCTTTTAAAGAGTGAGAAGATGTGAATTTGAACAAGTTCAACAATAATGATTGGCACTCATTTACAACAGCTTTGACTGAAGAAGAAATTATCCCCAAACAGCCTTTTTTGTAGGCTAATTTCCTAAGAACTTTGACATGTAGACGTGAACTACAGAGCTTAATCATATAATAGTAAATGAAATGATTCTTTTAATGTTTTCACTAAGCAAGTATATTAAAACCATGTTATGGATTTATAGCCATCTTGGATATACTTTATTAGACTTTAAAAAATAGATAAATTGTCTTAAAATTAAGCAGAAATATGTTCAAGATATAAGTAAGTTAACTATCAAGCAGAACTGCATTGAATTTAAGGGAGTAAATCATGATTTCATTGCCAAATGGTTTTTGATAGATTGAATGTGAATTCAAAAGGAAGACTATAAACAAAATTCAGAGAAAATGTTATTGCTAGATTAAGGCAATTATATAAAGATCATTTAATGCAGTTGGGGATGTTGTTGTTATGTGCCGTCAAGTCAGACCCTACTCATAGTGACCCCTCCTTGGGTTTCTGAGGCAGTATCACTATGGAAATAGATTGTCTAACCTTCCTAGGAGTGGCTGATGGGTTTGAATCACCAGCCTTCTGGTTAGCAGTCAAGTGCCTTAGCCAGTATGCTTCCTAAAGTTGGGGATAAGAGAAACAAAGTTAAACCCAGATTATTTGAGGCCTTGCAGTGTATAGATGCATACGCACAAACACTCGCAGAGATCACAGACACACAGACATAATCACATGTGAGATGTTTTAACATACCCCAAAGTGTATGTGTATATCTGAATAAAACGAGTGATAAACATTTTCTGGAAGAGAAGTTGAGCTGAACACACACACTCGTTTTTTAATAATGATGTCTGTTAGACTTGAATGGCAGGCACCACAGTCTGTCAGGGAAGAGGTGAAATCATCGCAGATTATTGAGTGATTCAAAATTAGATCAGACAAAGCACTTTAAAAATACACTGTAGGAAACAATCTACTTTGGTTAGGCAATAAAAAGATGACCTAAATTGGTCATTTCTACCTCTAATTTTTACTGCTTTCATTTAATTTTAGAAAGATAAATATATACAGAAGCATTGAAAGTTAAGGTCTAAACTGTAAAGTGTCTATTATTGAATGTTAATATAACATTTGAAACTTGTGGCTTTGCTGTGGAAACAACACAAATATAGCTATGTGTCCTCAGGCATTTCCTGACTACTAAGTCAACAATGAAAAAAGAGATTTGAGTTCAGAGCAGTAATTAAGAGGCTGTTGGTGAATTTGTCCTTAAAGTATAAGTTGTAAGCATGTATATCCAACATAACAGACTTTGACATTATACTCAAAATGAAACAGAATTTAGTTCTTCTTTCTATATATAAATGTTATTGTAACAATATAAATATATGATGATTATGGAAAAACAATATAGAGATTCTGTGAGAAGTATTAGGCAAATGGATACAAAAGGAGAGGAGTTTGATTGGGAACCAGTTTTGGAAAGTTATTTTTCATGTTTTCCCTGACCTGAACTTAAATCATTGGCAATAAGATGCAGTCTCTTTCATATTCTTTGCTTTCTTATATTCAAAGATAGTCAAGATACTGTGTTAAACGAATGAAATCGTTTGAGATAAAAAGACTCAATATATTTTTCTAATAGTTTGCTACTTAGGCTTTTTACGTACCTTATGTGCTTTTAACCTATACTGATTTACTTGGGACACCCTTGCTCAGCTTGGGGAATGTTCTGGTTACCTAGTGTCGCTCTGACAAGAATATACCACAAATGGGATGGCCTTAACAAACAGGAGTTTATTCTTACTATTTGGAGGCTTTAAGTCCAAGTACAAAGTGCCAGGCTCTACAGGCTGGGTAAAAGCCCCTCAACCTTGGGGTCCAGCTCTGCCTCCTGCTCCTGGCCCACTGGAGCTAGAGGCATTTCTTCACTCAGACAGCTGCTGGCTGTTGAGGCTGAGAAGCCCCAATGTTGACAAGTAAAAAGGCACAGTCCTGATGTTACCAAACCACATGACAGGCCATTAAC